AAGAAAGAAAAAAGAAAGAAAGAAAGAAAGAAAGAAAGAAAGAAAGAAAGAAAGAAAGAAATGGTGCCATAATCTTTGAACAAATGAAACTCTGCACCAGTCCTGGTACGAAGACCAATATAATACTATACAGTGTCATAGGATCAAGCCGTAATGTTATGATCAGAATTAACTACCAAAAGTTGTCTTTTTACATCAGATGGGAAAAATAAAAGTCTGTACATATGCACATCTTGCTCCCCAAGAAAAATCAGAGATTTGGAGAAAGTTATCTTGACAAGTGTGTGTGGTTTTTTAAAAAAAACTGTCAAGGGAAATATTGTCCAGTTTTTTTGGATAATGAATGCAGCAGCCAATTCCCCCCCCCACACACACACACACAATCTTTCCCTGGAGAATAGAATCATAATCAAAAAATTTATGCAGTAATAGCAGAACCCTTATGAAGGATGTCAATGGAGCTCTACATTGGTGGGAAAAAAAGAGTTTTCCTGTTGTTTTTCAGATCTTTTATTTTCTCATAAGCTCCTGTAAGGGGTTCATGCTTTTTTTTTTCTTTGTAGGTGCCACAAGGTCCCCTACTCCAAATGGCTATGAAAACACACAGACACAGGCACAGACACAGACACAGACACACACACACACACACACAGAGAGAGAGAGAGAGAGAGAGAGAGAGAGAGAGAGAGAGAGGATTTTTTTTCTTTTACAAAATCCTTCTCCAAAAAAACCTTCAGGGCAACATACATGGTCTTACTGCAATGACTCTAGGATATTCACATTAACAACAAAGTCCTACAGAATGTAAATGTAAAGTCATTTGTTCCAGATTGGCTGTAGTATTAGGTGGAGGGAGGCACCTGCCTGAGGAAGTGCATACTAAAAAATGAAGAGGTAACTTGTGGGTGCCATGTGGTCCGCCCTTGAAGTCTGGTAACCACTGGTGAAGTGGTGGATGTTCCTTCAAAACTAGCATTGCTTCAACAGTCAGTGTTGTCATACATGGAATGAAAGGAGGTAGAGGTTTTTTTTCTTCACTGTGGGACTAGCCAGGACCCCACTCCTCAGGCAGGTCCAGCCATTAGCGGACTGTACACCATGAAGGCACTCACCAGAACATCTTCCACTTGCAGTTCTCACATAAATTTGGGGGGCCAGCCGGGGCATGAATGAAGCAATAGGGGGCAGCATGGAGGGTATGGAAGATGCGGCCACAGAAGAGGGATTATTTAAAGGGGGACGATCTCTGAGGAGGAGGAGTTGTGGGCAGATGCCCAGGATTGGAAGGCTTGCAAAGCCGTGGCTGTACAGGGTGATGGGATCCCAGCACAGAGTGGGAGGTTGTTCAGAGATGTGATCCCTGGACAGGCTAGTAGGTCGACCTCTGTGTACCTTTAGAGGAAGCAGCAAGAGTGTGCTGTGAAAAGGCTCAGTGAGGCTCAGCATGGAAAGCACCAGCTGCAAGCCCACAGAAACTGACAGAGACCACACAATGGTCACCTGTGACAGGACCTCTACCTTGCACACACACACCATCTTAGTTACCATCCAGTCCACCAAGCCAATACACTCACCTCTGGCTTTCTGACCCATCTCCTGTGCCAGTCAAGTCCAGCTCAGTCTGTAGTGGGTCAACACCAGAGCAGCAGCTGCCTGCAGCCACTCCTCAAGGTGATACAGCCCTTTCCCTCCATGTTGAGCCAAAGACTGAGTCTACCAATGTCTGGAGCCAGGTATTGGTGGCTATTCAGCACCCCTGAATATTCAGCACCACGCCTTACCCACCTCCATGGCACACTGCGGCTATTCAGCACCCCTGCTGTGGCACTCCACGCCTTACCCACCTCCATGGCACACTGGAACAGGCAGAGTAGAAAAGATTCTACCCTCCTGCCCTGAAGACCCCTTAAGAACTGACCGAGGGCTTGAGACTTTAGTTATGGACAGTCATCTCATTGATGCATAGGATAGTTAGGCCCTGTTGACCATTGTTTTTTGACCTTGTTTTAATTTTAATAAATTGTTGGGTTTAAGCAAACATATTGTGTTTCAATGGAAGGGGAAACTGGAATTGCTCATATCCGCCTCAAGCAGAAAAGTGTTCTGAGCCTGCCACCCCTAACTAATTAGATTGCAGCCTTTTCCCCAGTCTTGGGTGTGGATGTGTACTGAACGCCGTCTAAGAATATAGTATGATACTATATCTATGGATAAACAGTTTCCACAATGAGCTGGAATGTGAATCCTCTGCTCTGGTAAGTCAAGCCCTGCCTCTTTTGAGCTGGGCTGAACTTGAAATGCCACACAATTAAATGGGAAAAGACTTACAGTATATGTCACTTGTCCCCCCCCCCAAGAGGGGATTTTGGCTTGAATAAAACACTGAATGAAAAGCAAGCATATCATTGCTTAGCAATCTTGAGGGTAGAGGGAGCAGGATATGTAACAATAAATTAATAATTATCATTTAAAAAATAATTTACATTGCAGCATATTGCAATTTCGTGTGAATAATCCCACATATTTGTCCTGTACTTAATTCACCACTCAGCAAAACACTCAGTAAATTATCTTATCATGAACTGTGGTCCAGAGCAGAGGTTTCTCCCTATCTACAAATAGATTTCAGCTGGACAACTTCTATGCAAACTGTAGAAATCAGCTTCCCAGGATTTAATGCAATAAAATATGTTAAGAACTGCAAGGAGATCATTGGGAGCAAATTTGCTCTAATTAACCAAGTCTTTACCCATACATGCTTAATTTGGTAACAGGTATTCCAGGAACACTCAAGCAAGCTGCAGCAAGTGCATTTCCGATAACATCAAGTCCACCTTGGTTGGGGGCCAAAAACATGGCAAAATTACTCCCATGTCCTTGAAAGGGCATCTATCTGTCTGTCTATCTGTCTGTCTGTCTATCTATCCATTCAACTTGTACACCACCCGCACTCTGCAAGAGTGTTTAAAAGTATTCATTTCACAAAGACTGAAAACTCCCTGAACCTTTTTTTACTTCTCCTAGGCTTCTCAAGTAGGAAAATCTGCAGGAATTACATACAGATCATGCCTGTCTGATGTGGGACTTATTAAGCCAAAGGCAGTCTACAAATTACATACTACATCTGTTTAGGGATATGAAAATCATCTGCCTCTGAAGGTCCAAGTACAGTACTCAGAAAAAAACAGGCTTATTAAATCTCTGGTAAGCCACCATGGCACGCATTTTGCTATGCGTGTGCACATCTATTTCACTTGGGCACCCTAGACTGTTTGTTCTAGTGAAAAATGGGCACTTTATATTTGGTTGTTATAAACAGCGTGAACCATATTAAGGAAGCTTCTATAGTGTGTGTTTTGGGCAAACAGAAATCATGCACTCTCTTTGGTGTGAGGTAAACAAGTAAAGTACAATGAAGTTACAGTTAATTCACCATTAAGAACCTCCAGTGCAATCGGATACAGTTCGATGTTCATAGTTTTTAACATTTGAATAACTAGAATAACAACTTTAGATTAAGAGTTACTGTCATCACCTTGCCCCTTTGAATACTGACCTTAATTTAATGGGAAACCTTGAATTTAAACACTAAACCATGGGTTCCCCCCCTCCTTTTCCAGAAACCTTCTGATCAACAGTGGGAAACATTTGACTGTCCAGATGTGTAGACCTGAATCTCCCACAGTCTTCAGGGGGCCACAGTATAGGCAGTGGACAATGATTTCCCACCTTTGATCGAAATAGACACATTTTTCTGCTGTGGTAGTGAATCATCAAGGTACTAGAATAAGAGGTCCAAATTATCCTTCTCAAGAAGAAACTGGAAAAGTGACACTTTGGTCTGCAACTCCCATCAGATGTTGAAGACTGCAGCACAAAAGAGGAACTTTTCCAAACAGTTCTCTTCACTGTGACATTAAACTAATGAGTCTTGCCAGTTCCAGTGTCTGTCCATAGAATGAAAAATACTAAAAGCACAGACTTCCAAGGAGAGGTAGATCTAGGAATACCAACAGCAACTGTCAGACCTGTGGTTTCTTGGGGGAAAGGCCTTGAGAATATCAGTTTACCACATTATACACTGCACTTCACACATAATGTAGAGGGTTTATATAATACGTAATCTGTTTCATCGGAACAGCAAATGATCGGGAGAGTATGTGAGAGAGGTAACGAGCACTACAGGAAACTATTTATAGAAAACACATCTGAATAGCTGGACTGTCACCATGCTACTTCATGAAGAACCAGACAACAATTTTCCCTCAAAAGGGGATTCAGTATTATTTGTGAAACAAGCGCGTTGATTTTCTAGGCTATCTGTACATTAACAGCAGTATCTGTCTATATGACGGCTACACAATATTACAGTATGCAGAACGGAACTTACGGTTCAGCTTCCATGCTCTGGTAAGGGGCAACATAGTTGGCTGGGACGTAGCCTTGCAGATTTTGTCCAGGCCTGGCAAACCCATTCTTTACATGCAATCGAGCAATCCACCAGCTTTCTTGAGACGTGTCCAGTATTTCAAGCTTATCCCCGGCTTGGAAACTCAGGTCTTCATCTGTACGAGCTTGGTAATCAAACAGGGCCACAAATATGCGGGGGGGCTGATCTGGAGGCGGTTCTGGTCCAGTTGGCTCCGGAGGGGTGGTCGGCTTTGATTCACAATCACATGCCTTGAAAATCCAAGGCATGTAGGACTGCAGACAAGCACAGCTCTTCTGACAAGAGTTCCCCATGCTGTCCCCAAGGTCTTTATGTCCTGTATATCTTCAGCCTCTTTTTGCCTATCCCTAGGAATTCATGAATACTCTAAACATATTTTGTTTGTTAAGTATCATTTCCAAGTTTGTTCTGGAGACCTTTTTAAAAAAATAATTCCTGAAAAGACAAGAAATCTGACAACAAGCTGTAAAGACCTCCTTTCCCACCTGCAAGCCACCAAGAGGTTCCTTGCTCCCTTTCACCTCCACATTCAGAACTGAAACCTGACTACGTGAAGTCCAGTTATCTGTGGCAGGGGAATTTCTTACTTCCTCTTTCGAACAGAAAGACCAGATCCTTTGTGTTGGAGGCAAAAATTAAAAAAATCAAACATTAAAACAAAAGCACACCTAGAAACAACAAACTTGGTAAAGAAAAGCAGCACAAATGCTTTCCAGAGGTATCTTCCTACCTTTCCTACTCTTTCTCCTCTCTAAATGCATTCCTACAGCAGAGACTCTGAAAACTCACTAGCTCCCGGTAATGAATAACTAACTTGATTGCCTGGCAGCTTTAATAAGGTGGAATGTGGGTAAACTACTTTTAAAACTACTTCCTGGTTTGCCTTCACATTTTCTCCTTCTCTTCCCCCTCTCTCTCATACAGAAAGCAATCCTCCCCTTTTTTTGAAGGATTTCCCAGCTGCTCATTTTATTGCACAAATAAATGTGCACTCATTTTTCAGGGTCTCCAGAGTCCAAAAGTCTTTTCCAGGCAGTGAAACTCTTGTGAGCAAAAGCTGAATGCTGTTACTGAAAAAGCAATGACTTCCACCACCTTGTTCCTTTCTAATCCAATCCACTAGCCCTTTGCAAACCATGACATGCCATTGCCATGCTCACTTTGTTTCAGTGGTCTTAAAACAAATTTAAGTTGTTTAAACTCATTTTAGAGGTCCAATGCTTTGTTGTGCTATTTCAATTTAAACACTCATCAAGCCCCTTACTTTTAAAAACAACAACAGAGAACCAAACTACGTATTTGTGATCTTGCTCAATCAAAAAACAAACAAAAAACAGCTCCAACTTTGTCCCATACAAAATGGGCATGTGGGTTAGGAATGCAAAACCCTTTGCCCACCTTCAGGGGACCACCTCCAACTGTCTTCCTTCCTTCCTTTCCACCAGTTAAGCCATCACCAAGGGTAATGGGGGCAAGTGGAGTAGAAACTGGAGGAGTGTGTGTGGAAATGCAGGGGAGCTCCTGCATTTTCTTCATCTAACTCAATCCTCCCTAAAAATCAAACAGAATTCTGCGGAATTACCATATTTTTCCATGTATAAAGCTTTTTCCTAAAATCATTAGAGGAAAAATTGAGGGTTGTTTTATACATGGAAGGAGGTGGAGGCAGAGGCAAAGGAACAGCCGTGCTCAGCTGCCTCTCGCGGCTGCCCGTTGGCTGCTGCCGCCTCAGATTGCCTCTTCCAGCACCACTCGCGGGCTCTCTTTGGGCAGGGGACAAGGCGGTGATGTGAGCCCCGCAGTCACACGGGGAGGTGATCAGGCGGTAGAGGCAGCAGCAGCAAGAGACAGAGATGGAGGAGCAGTCAAGTGGCCACCTCACAGCTGCCCATTGACTGCTCCTCGGGCCGCCTCACAGCAGCCCATTGACTGCTCCTCCACCTCTGGCTAGGGTCAAAATTAGGGGGTTGTCTTATACATTGGGGGTCACATACACAGAAAAATACGGTAGGTTAGGTGAATTTGTGTTGTGGTAGAAGCCCTGAAGGAAACTGTGAAGTGGTTCTCCTGGTCTTTCTGCATGTTCAGCATAGTTTATCATCTCAGAGGTTCTGGGATTTAGGGAACGTTATGAAGGTGTATGTGTGCGTGTGTGTGTGCGCACGTGTGTGTTTGGTCTGGTCTCTGAGTGTTCTTTGTGAATTTCGTTGCATGTGTATATATATGTGTGTGTGTATATATATATATAACATTTATATATGTTCAATGACAATAAATTGTTTATGTTTCAGCAAGGCCGTATACTCTATATAAGCTTAGATGCACTTCTCACGGACATGGGTGTACAGGATCTCGCTCCATCCTTTCCCAGAACAGGCAAAGCTGTCATCACAGCATATAGG